TGGACCAGGCTGGCCTCAGATTCAGAGTCTGAGTGCTGGAATTAAAGGCGTGCACAACCACCACTTGGCTTTGATTTTGGTTTAAGGCAGGGTTTCATGTCACCCTCGGGTTTCAAAGTCACTGTCTTAGTTGGGGTTATTGTTGCTGTAATGAAACAACACAATTAAAAGCAAGCTGGGGAGGAAAGGGTTTATTTATTAGGCTTATGCATTCTTACAGCACTGCTGTCACTGAAGGAAGTCAGGACAGGAACTCAAGCAGGGCAGGAGCCTGGAGGCAGGAGCGGGTGCAGAGCCCATGGAGGAGTGCTGCTTACCGACTTGCTCTCCATGGCTTGCTCAGCCTGCTTTCTTACAGAACCCAGGACTGCCAGCCCACAGTGGGCTATGGCCTCTCCCCCATCAATCACTAACTAAGACAATGCCCGGCAAGCTTGCCTACAGTCTAATCCTTCACAGGTATTTTCTGAATTGAGGTCCCCTCCTCTCAGATGACTTCAGCTAGTGTCAGGTTGACGTAAAACTAGTCAGCACACTCACCTTGTAACTTTGAATTCCTGATCCTCCTGCCTCCAGCTCCAAAATACCTGAAATCAGAGGCTCTCCACCATGCCAGGCTTGGTTGGTGTTTCCAATTGCTACTTCATCAGGATTTGGGTGACTAGTGCACAGCCAGCCTGTGGAGCGCTTTGGGACTCCTGTTTGTCAAGGAGGCTTCTCCTCAGAAAGTCTAGGCTTCCCAGGCTGGTTCTGGCCCAGTGGCTTGTCCCAGGGCAGCTCTGGAATCCTGCCAAGTTTCCAGGGCCCATCCTTGAGCTGTGAGCCCAGCTGTGACTGGCACCTAGCATCCTTCACACCTACGTTAGTGGCCCTCACAGCTGTGTCCCGTCAATATAGCACAGCTTCCCAGTGAGGGATGCCTGGCTTGGCCTGGTGGAAAGCCACCCCACTGAAGGGGAAACTGTTGGAGATTCCCTGCCTCGGCTGTTCTCGCCAGGGTTAAGACTCTGAGTCTTTGTTTCTAAAGGCTGGCATTTCAAAACTGTACCAGAATAAAAGGGACAAAGATATTTTTTCCTGATTATGACTGAGCTTGCACAAGTCAGTGTGGCTATTTGGTATCTTTCTGTTTGTGCTCCCTCCACTCGGGAAAAATAAGGTCTCCCCCAGCAGCTTCCTCCTGAGATATTAGTAGGACTGATTTCACATACACACCCCTTTTGTTTTGGGCATACATGAGTGCAAGTGTAT